CAGTTGCATCACTTATGATAGAAGCGCAATAAAGAAGACAACCGCACGCATTTCAAGGTTCGAGAAACGTACGCAGGACTGATGCACCTTTGGCGGTGAAGTGCGGTTTCAAGGAAGTTGAAAAATCGCGTACTCTGTTACTGTTCAGTCAGCTTTGCTTTATTTTTCACACCTCTTTGACGCTAAGCATTGTACGAATAGATCAACGATGGTAATATAATAGGCGAGTTTAGGTGCAAGTAAAGGAAGAAAAAACAAGTAGAAATAGATTACTGAGAACAGTAAGAAATTTTTGTATTAGTCCCACCGTACACGTTCTGATGTTCTTCCATGGGGTTTGGGGTTTCAACAAGGGAACCGTATAGCTATCGTGTCACTGACTTCTATTCCAAGCCATGTCACTTGATTTCTCTAACCAGCGACAATCCTCATTCCTTGGCCACCAACTTGGAAAGTGGGCTACCCCAACCAAGGTGCAGTATTGCGGTGTTGGAAGAGTCGGCTAACTGCCTCCAACGGGCTACGATTTTCACATGTCATCTAGCTACTTTGCGGATGAGATACAATCATAAGGTTCATGTGCTTTGCCTTTGTAGTATTTCCACTTCAGGCAAATCATGGACTGATTTCCTTGTCATAAAGTTTATTTACCTCTTGATTTGTTTTGCACAAGTTCTTCAATCAGTATACATGTATAATAAATTTTATTTGTTCTTATTAAAAAACCCAACCCTTCAGTCTGCTGCCGCGTTGTGCATCCAAGTTGGATGCTTGTCGGATCCAGTCGAAGCACAGGGTCTTTCACATTTCCTGGAACATAGTAAGTCACATTTCATAATATTTTAGCTGCACTGATTGCTCCACGGTTTACCAGTGGTTGAAAATCCCAGCCTTATTAGAATTCATAACGTTGGTTTGCTTAGTTCTTCCTTCCACAGTACGGATATTTTGAAGCAATCAGTTGCATCACCAACCGGGTTGCCACGGCGCGCGATGTTTGCTAAGGCAGTCAGCGGATGGCAAAAAAGGTTTGAAAACCATAAACAGGGTCACATAGGTACCGTTAGGCTTCCTGAGTTGGGACCCTGAGATCAAAGTAATCGGTGGTTAGAGACACTGAGTGATATGCCTGAGTGTCGCAAACACTGGCGCCCCTGCATCTCATTATTCTTGCAAGCCTAGTCTATATGAATTCTCTATCTTCACTTTGAATTAGCTCTCAGCATTTCAATCTTCATTCTGCTCTTTTATCCAAATGGGCAACCAAAAGACAGCAATCAAAACCGGTGCACAAAATTGCACGCTTAATAGTTGTAAAAGCTGAAAATTGAAATTGTAGGAAGTAAAAGCGGTTGAGTATTCCACGGCATTATTCTGGTTTGGTGACTGATTGGAGATAATGTTCCTATTCCCTTCATTTTTTCAATGGTATCACAAATCAAGATCTACCAAATTCTGAAGTGCATTTCCCTAGAGGGAGAGTTATCTTGAATCGTGTAAGATTTTATGCCCGAGTGGTCTGACTCCATCGGCTTTTAGTGAGAACGGGGCATCCTTAGTGATGAAGTTGACAAAACTGTTGGGTTTACAACGGGAAAATGAACAATGAATAGATCATTTCATCAGTTTACAAGAAACAAGTGATAGCTTCATTTGGGAAAACCGCAGGAATCAGTTTAATGAACACCATCGCTAAGCTTATCACTGCCATTACACTCCGATTGTTTGCCGCACATGAACGATGCGCGTGAGAGAACCAGGATGGCTTTAGTCCCGGTCGAGATTGCATCGATCCAATTTCCATTCTCCTCCGAATTCTGGAACAGTGACGTTGCTTCCATGGATTCATGGTTTGTATTTTTCTTGGTCTCAAAGCATCTTTCAACTCAGTTGGCTGCAATGTACACTAATACTGTTTCTTTTTTTATGGTACACCAGGAACGTTTATTTCACTAACACGATCCGTCCGTACGTAATACCCGATACTGAGTTTACCACGGAAAGTGGATTTTGTCAGATAAGCATTTTGTTTTTCTTTTTAACTTTGTGATACAAACGATAAAGCTGGTATAACTGAGACCTCTTGTGAGCTGGTGAACACCCTGTTTTCTGGGCTTGGACATATCATACGTGTTAGGCTTTCTGCTAGCTGTCCTCGGGGTTCGTAGACTCAGTGGTTAGAGAAAAAGTGGCGTAGTATCGTATACAATGGCACCCAGGCATACAAACAATTTCTCCGTAAATTTCATCTTTCCCCAACTATCTATCTCCCCCTTGGTACTGTTTCTAGTTTTCTACTTTTTCCTTCTACTCCTTCGCCGAAAGACAACAACCGAAACCGCTGCACGAAAGTGCAAGGCTAATGGTATTATAAACTAAACTAAATATACGGCCCCGATGATTGAACTGAGGAAAAAGCTTTTCGTAACCAAAGCTACCAGTTGCATATCTTGTCATAATTCATTGGTCCGATCCGTCACAAGTTCCCGCTGTTGGTATTCATGGGTGCTTGGTCAGGTTTGATCGATTTTCGGCTTTGCTTTTAGTTCACTCGTTCACAGAAGCCCAGCCTTAGTCTATCCATTATTTGTTAACTGAGATTTGTTGGCTTTTATGAGCTTTAAGTTTTCATCCCCAAACATATGGGATTATTTTTGTTCCATGATCGTTTTAAACACTTGAGGCTCCATTTTTCATTCATCTATTCTCGACAACAATCAAATGTGGTTTGCACTGCTCGACTAACTGTTTGCGTCATTCCTCTCACAGTGGTCTTCATGGGCAGTAAGAAATATCCCACAGAGAATGATTTTGATGCATACCTGAGCAAACGTGGTGGAACGTCAAACGCGTGGACTGGATTGGAGTATACTCTATTTCACTTTGATGTGAAGCGGAAACATTTTGCCAAATGTTTGGATCGTTTCGCTCAATTCTTTATCGCACCGCTGCTGGAATCCAGTAGCACAGACCGTGAACTGTCTGCTGTGCATAGCGGTGAGTTGTTTTGGGGGAACGGGAGCCGGGGTGCAGTGGTTCGTGGTTCTACTTCCCTCTGAGGATAAAAACATACTTTTTTCATTTTCTATTTCTGGTTTGTAGAACTGTCTCCCATAAGTGCGTTTGTCGACCGTGAAGTTTTCATTTCTTCCGAATAGTTTAGAAGTCATCTTGCGTCTTCCTTACCCCAAGTCGCGCCGGTACTTTGTTTTCATACGTGATAGCTTTGCACGCAACAATAACCGATTCTGATCGATTCCACAGAAGCGTCTCTCACTTGATTTCGTTATGTTCTTCTCATATGCATGACGCAGCGGTGCGGAAACATTCCCTAAAATGCCCCTTGGTTTGTCTCCAGCTTACTTTAACGATCTTTCTCCCGGTCTCCTATTCTGCTCATTTTTTCAAATATGTCAATGACGTAAATTAATCACTGACCCCGTCTCATCAGTCTGACACTACAAGTGCAATAATTCATTATTTATGTGTCGCTCTACAAAGTGATCTTCCGTTGACTAAGCTGTAAGTTACCGCAATTTTATTTCCATACACCAAAGCGGAGATTTTGTTACTGTCAGACGGGAAACTCTTCTATCATGACCCGAAATGGTATTCTGGTTATTCTCCAACTATTTGCTCAAGGTTTATTGAAAAGGGCTGCAAATCCGTGTACCATAGGTTATCTATCAGTCGTCGACCTTTCCCAATAAATTTTTTTATTGAATACTCTCCGTGAGAATCCTGTACTTTAATCGCTATTGAGATTCCTTTTGGCCTCACTCATCCAGTCGGTGGAGAATCTTGGATATAAACATGTTATATTTATCTATTTGGCAAAACATCTTGTTGACAGAAATAAGATTTTGAGTGAAACTTTAGGGAAAAGATTGTGGTCGATATGGGGACTGCCGTAGAAAACACCAAAGCGATCCAATGGGGTTGTAGTACCGGGGTCCGGATACAGGACCTTTGTGGCTATATATCATTCAACTATCATCAAGTAGGAGGAGGATGGATGTTTGTCAGTGACACCAGTCCGTTTTTTTCTTTTACTTTTTTCAATTGAATATAAAATGTTAAAATTTTCACGAAAGAGGAAGGAGCCGATAAAGGGGCTTCCGTGCAATGCACATAGAAGGGAGAAAGTCTGATGGTGGTGGTGGTGGGATTCGAATATGTCCTTTCGGGCGGTAATTTTGTGACCTTTACCGTTTGACCACTACCGCACAGTTCCCCAAACTAAACACTATAGCTAAATGGTGTTTCTGGTCAATTTTAATAAATACTTTTTAAGAAAAGTAGCCATTTTTTGGAACTCTCAAATGTTTTGAAAACGAAACTCAAAGTGCAGTTTTTTACATCTAAAAGGGACTGTGGAATAACATACGGAAACTGAGTGACCTATTCATGTCATTTTTTCTTCTGATGTTCCATGGTTGGTTCGTGATCCACAGTTACTCGGTAAAGCAGAATGAACTATACAGTTGTCTGAGATTGCGCCACACCTATCACATTTATCTCATTCAGTTTCCCTTGCTTCTTGTTTTCAGAATTCGAGTTGGCCAATGCAAGAGATTCCAGTCGTCTCCAGTTCTTTCTGGGCACATTGTCCTCGGAAGGCTCTCCATTTCGGATTTTCGGTTATGGTACGTTTCCGGGCTCCAAGCGGCTGCTGTACATTGCTCAAACTGATCTGTTTCGTATGTTTGCCTGTAACACGAATTTACTGACTTGTCTGTGCCGTGGAATTTCGAAACGTTGTATGACAAACGGAATAACTGTGATAGCGTCTGACGGTATGGCATCGCGCCTGCTTGTTGCGAATAGGATGAGTTGGTCGTTTACAGCGGCAATTTAAATTTACACCCCTCGAGTTTTAACAAACCACGGGGTGCCGCACAACGCTATGGGTTACTCCAAGAAAACCACAAACTGGTAACCAGTGTGATTTAGTTCTAGGACAAGAGAGTTGCCATTTTTTTATTACACACCTAGGTGTGATGAACAGCAGACGGGGTAAACCCCATAGTCACGAGGACCTGCTGTTCAGTGGTTGAAATCGGCAACCTAAGCCCCATGGGACTTGGAGTGGCGAACCACATAAGGCCCCAATAGGTTAGGCGTGTTATTGAACCGGACGACAGCAGAGCTGCCTATCACCAAAGTCGGGTGGCGGTGGCGGGGCTCGAACCTCGGACCATAAGGTCCAAAGCACGCCGGTGACAGCGACTAAACCACTGCGCCACCACCACCCTGCACTTAACGGGTAGCCACGTCGTTGCGGTATATGATTATGATAGTAGAATATTTTGTTGATTTTGCTCCGAGACTTCTGCTTCATTAATGGGACAACTCTTTCTAATCGAATTCCCAACTAGAACTTTGTTTACCTCATTGACGAGACACTTTTCAGCTTAGATCTCCGTCTTGATGCTCTGAATTGTTGCTGACGGAAATTTGGAGGAATGATATTTTCACAATAGGAGAGGAATGTTGACTCTATTCAAGTGCTGTTTTATGTACCAAGAGAATGCAGGTTGGTTGGCATCGTACGATTGAGCACGGCGGCTCGGTACTCTATTTCGATTATACTGCTACGGTTATTCAGATGACTCGTGTTGTTCACGGGTTGTTCACCTTCAAAAAAATGATCATTCATGCTTAGGGTGATACGGGTGACTTTTTATCCTCCGGTTTATCGTTGCATCTATCTTATTAAGGTCTTATTCTGCGCACTGATTACCAGTTCTCTGCCTGTGTTGACGAAAGATAGCCTCTCTCGGAAAGCATACCACCGGCGAGCCTCTGTCATAGATTCTAGGTTTGAAGCTGCTTGAATTGTTGAGTCCAGGACCAGTCAGCTTTTTGATCACACAAATCAATGCCAGGTCTTCACTGTTCGATCAGGGCTGTATAGGGATCCTCATTTCTCGTCCATGGGCGCTGGTCGCTGGTTTTTCCTTATCGACCAGTAGGACGTCGTAACCACGGGACTGAATCATAATACAGTTCATCAAATCACAACGTTTAGTGAAATATTTTCAAATGAATAACAGTTTTTCCATTTGAGGAGCGGTTATTCCCCATTGTGTCGTTTGTTAGATACTGACAAGACTGTGAAGCGCTCCGTTACTTAACAACAACTGTCTTGTTATACAAATTCTCCTAGTACCAATTTTTGGCAATGCTAACTGTCTACGTATTTCTGAACGCGGTTTTCACATTATACTTTGCCGAAGCATTTTTTTGTGATAAATTATTTGTTGATTTTCTCAGTATCCATTATTTTTTTTCTGCATTACAGGTAACATTAAATCTTTACGAGAAATTCCCGAACAGAATGGTACCGATATCCAGTCGCTGTTACGCAAACATCGGGAACAATCGTACTCATCTCAACGCATGACACTTGCGTTGCATTCCAAAGGTGATAAATCTGTCACGTGATAGACGGTATTATAGGCGATGAAACACGGTATCAAGTCTAGAATACCTGGTTTTGTTTATCCAGTCGCAAATAGTTGAGAAGGCTTATTTTAATTATGCGCCATCTGTTCGTTAGCAAATTATGAGTGTTTTATTGTTGTTGGGATATTTAAATACCGCAAAACTATCGTTTAGATCAAAAATGTAGCCTACAAGCAACTGGGCTGAGTGGGCGAGGTAAAATCGTCCTCGGTTGAAATCAAAGAATGATGTGTGTATGTGGGGCGGGGGTGGGGGGGTGGAGGGTGATCCATGAGAACCGGAACCCAGGTAGTTTCACTGACTGACTAGATATGTGGTGTCTTCTTATGAAGCGTTGTGTTCAATAGTTCCAACACAACTGTTATTGCTACAGTCTGATGAGTTTGTTTGTATAAATCTCGGTGGGTCACTTTAAATGTATTTTATGTTATTCACCTCTAGAGAGTCATTATACCATCCTCTTTACATTCGCGTGTTCAACATCCCTTTCATTGCACGTAAAATGACTGATCGAGTCTTTAGTTATGTATCCCACCGTCCTGCGGCAAGTCTGTACGTACCGTCATAAGTGGGTTGGAATCAGGAGTTGTCTACTGCTATAAAAGGCCATATAGGAATGGCTCGTTATAACTGGTCAAAATCCCTAAGATTGATTTGTCGACTTCTCATCTCGGTTGAAGGAAGTATCCTCCTTAACACACACACACACACACACACACACACACACACCTTAACGTGATTCTTCTCAAGTAGTAATTGGCCCTCAGAAATAAGTTTCCTATCCTTTCGACCAGTTATGAACCCATACCAACCTCAACAACGGTAATATTTCTTAGCGTCACCTTATCACACACATTTTACCATGGTGACTGCACGTTCAGGATACATTCTGTGAAGTTAGAAAGTTTTTATATTTCTCACTCCGATTAGCAACACTTTCTGTTCCTCTCAAGTTGATTGTTAGATTTATGAATTCATGCTTACTTCCCCACTTGTATTCCTACCCAATGATTTTCTCCGGTATGTCAAAAAAAGACTTTTAGTTACTAGCAAGACATCTAAATGCAGTTACAGATTCTATCATGGACAGACACACTTGCAAGCGTGTGTAAATTTTATTACCAAAAACTGTCAAACACTCATCAGCCATTACACAATGAACTTTCAAAAGCTGTATTCACTTTATCCACAAGCACAAGGTTCCCAATTTTTTAACTGCACGAACCTCTTCCTCTCACGGTTTTACATCTCCCACGCCTACTTTTTGACATGGTTAAAGTTTCCCCAGGATAACTTAATTAATCATAGTCGACATCTGGTGATTGCAATGTCATTTTTTATGATAGGAATAGGAATTAAAGTGCTGAAAATGTGCCCATCCGGGTGCATAAAGCTGATACTGATTTGACTTGAAGCATCAATCAGTTCCATCCGAACTTCCACATAGACAGATCGAAGTGGTCTTACTTTGGGGACATTAGGCCTGTCAGTCGGGAGTGATTCGCGAAATAGCGTCATGAAATAGTGTCATTGAACGCAACCTACATTGCTTTTTTATATTTTCCAATATTGCGACTAGTACAGTTACTGAATCCACCTGCACGCATTATTTAGTGCTGCTTTCTGTTAAATTTTTGTCACAGACACGTTGGACAATTTGGAGAAGTTAGCTCGTGATCTGTTCTCAGGTGTACCCAACAGGTAAGTTGAACTGGCGGTCCATTGTGCTTATTCTATTTGGCGATCACATTTGCGCTCGACAGACCCATTCATTCGCTGTCAAAAAATGCATCCCAGACTTGTGTAAGCAGCGGTTCGTGTTGCGTAACGCTGTACTCCCCGTTCCGACTACAAATAATATTGACAATATCAACATACTCTAATGATAAAACCAATAATCATCATAAATGCTATGTCAGTTAGTGATAAAATGTTTCCAATCGGACTACGAACCCCGGCGAACAAGTGAACAGAAAATCAAAGTGTGGTCAGTATCAAGAACGGTAATTTTACGGTGAACGGAATAACGAATTTTGAATAGAGAGTGACAACAGGTTTGAGTAATGTATCCTGCATCATTTTACTGCAACCGTACACATGCAGAGTGATAGGCTCCTGAAAATTGCGATCAACGTCACTCACCAAACGCGTCTGCCGCCAAAATAATGCCAGAGTGGGAAACTCTGTCCACACATTTGGGGATGGTGATTTTTGAATCGTTATTGCCTCTGTTTCTTGTGTGTCTTGTTGTAGCTGATCCTTGTGCGTCTCTCAGTGTGCCAACTTGACCCAAATCTGTCAGAGGTTTTGGTCTTCTTTTTATCGAATTCGTTTTTCGGGGAAACTGTGCTTACAAGCGGAATAGCGTTTTATCGCAATTGAAACATGTATTAATGCGGTGTGGTAGTCTGTAGAATAGGGAAAATCGATGGCAACCTGGTTATCTAATATCTTTAGGCTTGTAGTGGAAACCCATTGAGCCAGACGACGGTAAAGTGCAATATGATAAATCAAGCGCCTGAATAAAAAAACATCTTGTTCCCGCACCTACTCTGGTTTCAAGCCTTGCCATTTGGCGCAATCCGTACTCTCTGAGAACTGCTGCTATTATTCGCTTTGTTGTTATAACTCACTTAGAAGTTAACCAGTGGAGTCCAGATGTTAAGAAATCCACGGAGATATTCCGGGCCGGATCTCGAAAGACTATCCTACTGGTTAGTTGGTTGTAGACAAGAGGGTGTTGCAGGTAACTGATAACAGTTACTGTCAAAAGTCGGTTCTTCGGGAAATGCTCTCGATATATTTTCTCTAGTCCTCTGGACACGAATCACCTTTGGGAAGGGAATTACAGGCGTTTATGTATAACCCTGAGCCAATCAGATTGTTCGACGGGCAAAATTAAGTCTTACACGGACCAATCATAAAAACACAGTTGATGCAGTAAAACAAATGATCAATTCAAACAACTTTCCAACACAGTCACACTGGTTACTCCGTTTGTCGATGATTGCAGATCAGTTCAGATTATGCAATAAATAGCCGTGGACTATCGTATACCCATTGTGGTTGTTGTCCTTTAGCTGCCGATTTGGTTGCACAATGACAGCGGGTTACACGGAAGAGGCAGAAAGCTAAACGCAATATCAAGCTGCCGGTATGGTGGAATACAGTTTAATTACATTTGCGAAGAAATAGAGCAGATGCACGGCCATCATCGCTTACGATATCTAGTCATATTACTTCCTGTCCTTAGCCATCGACCAGGCTAATCCCGAGGTCGCAGTTGGGAAGCCAACCGCAATCTGTCACCAGGTTCCCCTCTCAGGATTTTCTTATCCTTAGCTGTGCTAAACACTACATTCCTTGGTAAACATCGCATGCTGAGAAAGCTTATCTGGGGGACAGGCGTAGTAAATCCCGCAGATATCGTAATATCAGTAAATTACCTACAACAGTATACGTAACCTCGGTATTGCTTTTCTGATTACCCCATTAGAATCTTTCAATGTGACGTAACCAATGATACTCGAGGATCGAAATTTTGTCTTATTCTTTTATCCAAAACGGCCACATAACAGCGATACAGACCGAGCCGCTGTAGCATATGCTCGATCATAAGGGTTTACTTTCTTTTCCTTGTATTCAAAACAAACCCATCGCCATCCAACTGAAATTCATAGCTGGTTTTGGTGTTGGAGAGGAGATCACATCACGAATAGCGAAAGCTGGAGCAGCTTTCGCCAACCTGCGACACCTGTGGCGCCGCCATGATATCCAACTTTCCCTTAAGAGAAGGATGTACATCGACACGGTTCGTAGTGTTCTGCTTTACGGGTGCGAGACTTGGCATCTCCGAGCGGAAGATGAAAATCAGCTTTCTGTGTTCCAACACCGATATCTCCGAAGCATTGCTCATGTCTGGTGGGAACGTCGGTCTAACAATGACGAGGTTCGTCGTCGTGTTTTGGGTGCTAATAGTAATTTTCTGAAAGAAGTAATCCGTCTGCATCGCCTCCTGTTGCTTGGTCACATTTAACGTGTCTGCCTATCGTCTAACTTTCCGTGCTCAGTTTGCACATGCTGGACAAGGCTGAGAGAAACGTCGCGGCGTCCAGAACATGACCTGATGTAGAGATATGAAGAACCTGGCTGTACGGTTTGACGTCGGTTCGTGTAGTCCGCCTTCCATGTTCGGGCCCAAGAGATGGGGATTGTCGTTGGCTAGAGACGCCAAGAGATGTGGCCTAGAATAGAAGTCAGTTATGCGTGAGCTCGAGCAATGATATTCGTCTTGCAGTTTTGACTGGGAATGTACAGTGTTTGTCAGATCAAACATGTAAGAGAGGTGGATTTTGGAATGTCCTAGTTTTGATCATTATCGTGGTTAATTTCCATTTAAAACCGTCTATCCTGGGCTGTGTACTAAATTTGCCCGGGATTTGTGGAATCGAAGCGAAGTTTGAAATGTATTCCTTTGTATGCTCTACGCCTTACTTTTTAACTTATGTTTTCAGAAGGTGATGATCATTTGCCCGTGGTCACGAGGGCGTACTGTTTGGTAGAGAGGACCGACTTTAGCTCTGCAGCTTGAGGTGGGGAGCCAAACAAGATTCCAAGAAGCAGCTAGGACGTGTAATCAATGCCAATGATGTTTTTTTCTCTATAATCAGCGGTGATGTTTGTGAGATTCGAAACCTGAACTCTTCGTACAAGCACTCGCAGCAAAAAAATTAAACGTTTCGGCCTTCCTCATCTTTATATTTTGAACTTTAGTAAGAGATTGATGAGCAGATCAAAGACGTAGATTGGATATCTATATACTTATTCAGTTCTCTTCTGCAAAAACTTGCATTGCAATGGTTTGGAATGATTGTAGCCAGTCGACCTAAGATAAAAATGATGATCATCATGACAACGAAACAGCCAATCAATACACAACACGCGGTTGGTATTGACCAACAGGATCAAAGGGACGCAAACAGCCAATCGAAACCCTCGAACTGAACTATATAGGCCCGTTCCCGCTGAGGACTGGCGCTTTCCCCGAAGTCGCACTCATGGTGTTGCCTAGCTTGGCTACGAAACGTCTGCGAACAACACTTCCAGCTCGGAGACCTCACCAACACCAACATTCACTTACATTTCTAGAAAAGCCAACGGCAATTTTTGTTTCATTTCGTCACAAATGATCAAATTGAAATAGGCGCACCGTACATGCTGTCTAGGCTTTCAGCGAAAGGCAGTGGGCTCGATCTTTTATTCGGCCCTGACCTCTTATTATTCAATAAATATAGCATAAAGTTACACAGACATACTAGGTGGCTTCCACAGTGTGATGCGTTAGCACGGTACTGATAAAATCCATTAGTTGCCTGGTCGTCGTTCAGATTTCTCCAAGCTGGTAAAGTATAGAAGTTGTGTCATCCGAGACTGTCTTACGTGTTCGATCTACGGAATACAATGTTCCAGAATATGCAGTGAAATACACTTTGTCTTATGTTTAGTCTCGTTCACGCAATTGAAGCACGAAACACAGGTAGCTTTAATCTTCATGTGCGTATGTTGTTTTACCCCTGAATTCAATCGTGATCTTCTTTGCTATCTTGTCTGATTCACTGTGTTCAGGGACCTCTGGATTCTCCATAAGTCACCGAACAGTAGGTATTTTCAAAGTAAATTTATTGAATTCAGAGTCTTCATCTTATCAGATAAATCAGGAATCTAATTTCGTTCGCTCAGTGTGCTCAGTCTAATTCACGCCCACGGAAAGTGTGACTCATCGAAAACTTCCTACTCACCTCGTTTGACCTTCGGCCGGCCCGCCACACCATCGCCGAGCGTTAGTTGTTGAAGTAGGCTAGTAGCTGAATTACAGGCTTTGGTCAATACTAAGAAACACTGCAGTTTTCCCAACCTCGGATTCTTTTTATCACGCAGTATGATGAACAGTGAGTGGACGATGTGATAATCATAATCACGAGTAATTACTATGAGAACCGGTGACCTCAGCAATGGAACAGTAGAGGCAAATTGCACAATGTCGGAGTAGGATGATGGTGACATTGATCCGGGTGCTTCGGGGCTGCCGACCACTAATGCTAGCTGATACTAGACGGGTTCGAGCATTGAATCTCCGAGTTGGGAGGATACCAGGGATTAATAGGGAACTGTTTTGGTAATGCTCAGTCATTTAGTTGAACGCTGAGTGATATCCCATGGGTGGTGCAAATAGAAGGCATCTCGTTCGATTTGGGAGTGAGAGGAAGAACCGGACAGCTGAGAAAGAGGGTCTTTCAAATGTGTACCTAGACTTTGGAGCACGCCATACATACGTGGTAGCTCACACCGACGAAGGGGTTTTTCTTTGGGAACTCAAAAGTTTAACCCAGGAAGCAATGGGGCTTAGATCCAACCGAAGCAATTGTGTCGGAGCTTCTGGAGACCTGTGACGCAAGGCCTTTGAATTTCGATTAATTATGTTGTTCACTGGGGCGTAATTGTCGGTCCTCTTTTTGTGATCGGCCATTAGCCTCATGCACCCAATTGGACTAGCGGAACGTAGACGAGACAGCACCTTACCGACTGGGGTCCGCCCAGGTTGGGCTGTCCAGTAAGGTGCGAAGAATTCTCCCACCGTCGAGAAGAAGCCTCAGGTACCCCGCTCCTACGTCTATCTAACGGGGTTTTTTGACCGGCAAACTGCCCTTCACCGTGTCTATGTGCTCGAGTAACCTCTCTTGGGTGAGAGTGGATAGACAAAGTAACCTAGGAGGTACCCAAGCAACTGGCCTTGTGAAACTGAGCTTTCTCTGGCCTCTACCCGTTGACCTTTAAGGCATGGTTTGATCTGTGACCGTGAGGAGCCATACCGTACAGCTCGCAGGGTCATGGAGGCACGCATGCCATCACTCCACGTCAAGATGCATTCTCGTCAGTTGCCAATCGTCATCACCAGACTATATCTTTTGGCTAGGAAACAACCTCTCACATTCTCACTCCAATCATGCCATTCGTTGTTATTCCTGCTACGTTCTCGCTGATCTGAGATCCCCTTCAAACCTGCATTTTTCCCGGTGGATAGAATTGCGATCATGATTTGTCACATTTGTTCTACATTGTGATCTGTCACGTTTCCCGCTCGCAAGGCTCAACCGGAGATTGGAAACAGGATTCTGTTTAAAGCCTGCAAATTTTCCCGGATTTATTCCGAGTCAATCCGACGTTCCGTCTCTCGCTCTCCTAAGGTGAATTGAGGCTATACGAACAGACTGTATGTAGCACTGCTGCTTGCATTCGAGTGCCAATTTGACAGAAAATCAATCAGTTTAAGTTGAGTAAGTGATGCAGAAAGAACCCACTTTACTAACATTTACTGGCTACGCTTTCTCTGTCTTAAGCGTTGACCAATTACGTAGAAATTCAACTTCTTGGAAGGGACTAAACCGGCACACTGGTATTTGTACCAGTGGAACTGCGCACAGCGTTTGCTATTAGGGTATGGTCTTCACTCCCCACCGTTTTCTTTGATCCCAAAATATATCAGTACGATTCATTCGCGATAGAATTATTTTGTTTGGTAGTCGTCAAACACCGCTGGACTGCTTTGGTGGCTCGTCCGCAAACAGTACTTTTTATGTCCCTCCCCGAAACCGACCAGCAAACGTTCTGGTTGGAATTTTGCTATCAATTATTTGCCCAGGGAATTGTTCCCAATTGACGCCATATTAACCTCTTTATACTCCTAAATAATTCGTAATATTATCAATGAAACCTGTGGATGCTGCATGTTTCAACCACTGATTGGAAGGGATTTAATAAATGCAGTTAGCTACTGATAATGAGTATTCTGTTTTGGGTGATGGTGGCCTGGTGGTAACGTCACCAGATCATCACCTTGGGGAACGTGTTTTCGAATCCCAACACCACCGCCTGACTTCCCCCACGGCATCCCTCTGATTGGCCGCTTCCCTCTTCCTGAAAATTGTATCACTGTGTATTCAGTGAAAGGAAGTATAATGAAAAAAAAACATGAAGTCACTTTGTGTTGGTGTATGTTGCGCTATGTCACGTCATAAATAGCGTAATTGCATGATCTTCGTTTATTCTGTTATGTTCTCCACATTTATCATTTTGGACCGATGCCAACTTTTTTGATAAGGTCAATCAATAGAATGTATATTGATTTTGATGACTGTGCTAATTACATTACAAATGTGTATAACATATACGAGTAATCGTCTCGCACTCTGTTCACTTGAGACCCGCACAACAACTTGATAATTCGTCGTTGTATGTGTGTGTGTGTGTGTGTGTGTGTGTGAGCACTGATCGCATTCAACTTGGTCTATTCTGACATCTTAGGTCATCCGTGTCGAAGGATGATCACTGGAGTGCTCAGTTTGCGTAACACGGGCCTGTTCCGCACTGACCGAATGAGGGTTTCAATCTGTTCACGGTCTAAGGTTCGGTGTGCACACTGTCCTACTCGATTGGATGAAGTTGATCTTGTCCTGTGTGTGTGTCAATCAGTGGTATAGCTCCATTTCCTGTATAAAAGCACTATGTGCGAGGGTGAGATATGGAAGAGGTTAACGCGCTGTAACAAGTGTGTGTTTTCGTCACCTGGTCAATGATGTTTTCCAATTCGGTCTCACGGGTTAGGTGACCTAGAAACTTCGGCCTCGAATTCGATTGATTGTATCGAGCGTAAATGATTTCATTAAAAGGCCTGACTAAGTGGTACGTTCCTGTTCATATGCGTAAACGTATAAAACAGTTCGGAGTGCATAAATAATCGGACGATATTGTATCCGAACTGTACAGCCATTTTGCGATCCCTTTTTATTAATAACCCTGTCTGAGCTTATGGCAACTCTTCTCCCGAGTTCACCACGGAAAGTGGTGTTCGTCAGGATTGCTCTCTCTCTCTCTCTCCTTGTCCATCCAAGCTTCTCATTTTTTTATTACACACATTTTGTGATGAACAGCAGATAGGGTGAATCCGATAGTCACGAAGATCTGCTGTTCAGTGATGGAAATCGGTAACCTAAGACCAGGTCAGGCGTGGTATTCAAGCTGCCTACCACCAAAGTTAGGTGGCAGCATCGAGTCTCGAACCTCGGATCACAACACGCCGGTGACTGCGACTGATCCGCTACATCACTACCCTAATGGCATGGAATCTGATTCTGGAAACTGCACTGTCCTTGTGCGCGGATAGCTGCATCGATTTGCTTCCAGGTGTTAGACTGTTTGATCTACAGTATGCAGACGTTATTACACCGATAAGTTGCAAGCTTTTTTAGATGGTTTTAATGATAATGTAGCTATTTTCGGTATGCACTCTACACCTTCAAAGTACAAAGTATCGCTACAAGACTGGGTTGGTCCAGCACCCAACCTCACTCCAACTAGGGCAAGAATATAGCAACTGGACAAGGTTTCTTATTTGGGCAGCTATTTTTCACCTGGTGGACGTATCACTGACAAAGTGTTAGCTCTTATCCAGAAGGCTCAATTGGCATTTGCCAACTTTTGATATCTGTAGCGTTGCCGCTACTTCCAGCTGCCTATCAAGGGTCGATTGTGTACTGCAACAGTTCAGCCAGTGGTACTTTATGATTCCAAGACTTCATTATTGGGAAAGCAAGATAAAAGTGAACTATCAGTGTTCAAGCATCGTTGTTTATGCCGTGTGGCACGAGTCTGGGGTACTTTATATATATATATATATATATGTCTGTGTTGTGTATGTCATTTCGTATATGGTTAAGGTGCTCCCTGTTTACCGAGGGAGGTATTAACTAGAAAAAAATAAAGGCTGGTCAAACTAATATCGAGGGTAAAAAACCCTCGGGTTAAGCTGAGCTGAATGCTATCAGGCGCGTCCTCAGGTTGTGGTTAGGGGTGTATCTTCACCGAAGAAGGTTACCTGTGAATAAGTTGTAGCATACCGCAACAAATAAGCAGTCGCGAACAAACAACGGTGACAATGCCAGGGTGTGGTGGGTTTGAGGCTGGTCACCTGGGTCCCATGTAAAAGCCGCATAAGCCCAATGACGCAACCAATAACGGTGCACAACAGTGCATGGGCTTTTAAAAGGGTTTTCAAAAGCTGAAATGAAATGATTACGCAGGGAGAGTTATGTCACACAGAAAGTCAATAAAACCGTATGGGTTTGATGTCAGTACGTTCGCTTTCCAGGAGAACTTGGGTGGTGAAGTACCCTGCCAGGCATTCATTTCAATTGGACTGAAATACACCTAATTAATTCGAGTTGCTTCTAAAATTCAACTGAAGCTGCTTGATTATAATGGTTCACATGGTGAACGAAGTTCTTATGCATATGTACCTTTGGATTCGATTCCCAGGTATCTGTAACAATCTATTTGGTCTCTCTCTTCCGACCTCCATAGATTACGTTGGTTGGGGCATGTATTACTCATGTCTCCAAATAGGTTGCCACGACGAGCGATGTTCGTCGAGGCAAGTCGTGGGTGGAAGAAAGTCAAGGGCAGCCAAGCTAAGACCTGGCACGAGGGTATGAAAACCCTGACCAGGGGACTGGGTCACATAGTTCCCGTTAGGCTTCCTGGCTGGAGACCTCGAGAAGATCGTACCCGATGGTTAGAGACACTGAATGATATGGCTGAGTGTCGTAAACAGTGACGTTCTTGCATTTTCTCAATTTCTTTGCGGCCATAGTTTACTGAAGTTCTAAATTTTCTCTTCGTCTCTACCTTCAACTTTCCTGTCCTTCTCCTATTATTCATCCAAATGGACAGCCAAAAGACAGCAAGCAAAACCGACAGACGAAGGTGCATGGTTAATGCTTGTTCAAACTGAACTGAAACTCTCTTCCGGTAACTTTAGTACTCGTTTGTCGAAGTAGTAAAAATCGTTATTATGTTCAAAATTTGTTTTGTAAACCAGAGTACTCACTAAAGTGATGACTGTGTATTTCACTAATGTGTTCGCCATGGCAGCAATTTTCACTCCATCAATTTGATTTAATTCAGTATCATTTTTGTTTATTTTAATCTTTTTTCCTTTTCAGTGGTGTAAATCCTCCGGATTTCACTCTTTACAAAGATCCTTTCAACAATCCATCATTTAACAAAATTTATAAAGGTAAGTCCAATTATTGGTCATATTTGCGTTGTCGACCCCATTCATCTCTGTCAGATGCTACAACATTTGACTCCACTGATCTCCTTTGGTCCCACAGACAGCGATTGTCGGTACACGGTAATCACACTCCCGTTAGAGCCCACCTACTGTCTAATCCGTACATCTTTGCATTTTCAAGTTATCCATTATTTGCTCGATTGTTTTGTCATGTTTTTCGCATTGATTCTTGGTTGCCTGGTTGTAATCCTGTGTTTTACTAACTTTTACTGCGTGCTAAGTGACTCGTTTTAGTACTCAAAAAGTGTTTGTCGTCAGGTCGTAGGAAATTACTGCTTCTGACCTGGGTCGATCAGATTTGTTTTTCCTGTGTTCACTGGGCAATGTCACGTATTAACCAGTATTTTCTTAACGGGCGAAGATAAATTCGCCTCAGTATTTCCGCACGGCGATGTTTCGCGTCCTCATGTTCTGGTCGCATTGTGATCATCTAAGCTCACGGATAAACTTGGCGTGGAGGAAGTCTATTCCTAGCGGATCTTCTCATGCCCGCTTTTGGACCAAAATAGAAACGCCTTCACGTTGTCTCATCTACTCCTGTATTGAGACATACTCTCCATCTGATGCCTGTATGCACCAACTAGGGCTGAAATAATGGATAGCAATGAGCGAACTGCGTGCACAAACAGACTCCGGTCGATTGTAATTATGTCGTGTGTTAAATGGCAGCGCTTTAATTGGCCGCTTCCCCCTTCCTCAAAAGTTGTATCTTCCTGTATTTAATAAAAGGAAGTAAAAATGACAATGACAACAACAATGTGGCCCAAACCATTAAGCTCGTAAATGAACGCCTACAAACACCCTCCGGATTGGAACACATGTCAACTTGAGAAATCTGATTTTGCGAAATGTGACGGGGTCAAGGCAATGGTCTGGCACAGCTGACAAAGTCGAACAAGATCCAAACAGTTGTACCGTTCTTCCCGTTTTTTTCACTTCATATAGACAATGAAATTCTTCAGTGAATAGAACTGATGTATCCACTGTTCACGTGCACTTGATGCGTCGCGCGAGAGGATGAAAAGTTTGTGATAACCTCGTCCTTATGTGTGAAAACAAAAGTTTTACGGTACGCTATTTTACTATACCTGAGCTGCACGGGGTTTCAGTGGATTTTCGTTGATTAGATGAAGGGACATGATTACGGGTTGGTTCTTGAAATCGCTAAATATATCGGAGGTGGTGTACGCAATTTTGTGCCGGGACTGTGACCAACATTACGTAGGATAGACGGGCAACTCATCTACCCGAACACACTACGACGCGCTGACCCGAACGAGGTCACTATCAACGAGGCAAAAGTAGTGATAGGGCAAAGAGGAAGGTCGAACGTCCGACCCTTGAAGCCTGTGTTCAACCTCTACTCATTCAGTCTACACGTGGAAATCGATAAACGTCACGCAAAGACTGTAAAACCAATGAGGAACGGGAGATTGCTGGACAGACTGACGCAGCGCAAACCACAGCCAGTTGTACAAGTAGGCAAAATTTATTCGCACGCATTATCGTCTGATAACGAGTCCTAGTCTGTATCGAAACGACACAATGATTAGTAGCACTTAGTGCTTTCCCTGTCTTTCTCAGTATTTATAGGTAGATATTGATTTGAGCTGACTGTCCTTCGGACTTCACTTTCACGCACAATCCTCACTTCACCGATTCAACCGTACCACGCCTGAACAAACATGAATTGGTAATTTGCTTCAGCCATAGTATGGGCTGGTTGGCACAGTGGTAACGCACACGCCTTTCACGTGATAGGTTCAAATCCCGGACGGGACGGTAAATGTGCACTACTGATGAGGTCCAATAAGAGCGAAACTCGAATCTAGTGCTTCCGAGTGTATAGTTGAATCGATGAACTGAGGATTGTGTGTGAAGATGAGGTCCGAAGGACAGTCAGCTGAAATCAATAAGAGCCAATTATCCCACTCCACTACTCACAAGTAATTGTGAATCAAATGCTGAACGTGTTCATCTCACCGGGTGAAGTAAACCTCACGATCACGTGGAACTATCCTGATCACTCGTTAATTGACAACCTTGGCTGTGTAGTTTATAGTTAGGAACCTCATTGGGCTCCAACAGACTGAATTTCATTAGTTCATTTTTATCAGCATAAATTAAGTTCAATCTTCTTCTTTGACGGACATGGGAAACCTCTTTCCTTTCACGATGATTTTATTGTTCTTTTTGCTGAAGGCTTTCCCTGTCCTTATAGCAGATTGTGAACGTGTGAAAACCAGAGTGGGTAACTTCGTCGGTGTGATCATCCTTTTCGCATTCTGATTTCTTTCAGTATGCCCTCTCGGGGATCGGGAAAAATTGCGTATTGTTTGGTCTCTACCGTCGTTAAAGGACAAATATGAGTACGTGTTCTCATTTCGCCCCCCCCCGTCAGATTTAAGATGTGCATAATCTCTAATCATGTTCACTATTGTTCCGGTTCAAGACTTTTCTATCCTTTTTTAGACTCAGTGGTATTTTTTAAACGCGATCGTGTATTTGATTGTCGTGAATGGGAGCTTTTTGCTACTTCTCTTCATGTACGGTGATGGTTTTCACCCACTAAATTGTCACTACATATTCTTGTTACTGTTGTGAATGTTCAGTACACTTCGTTTTTACAAGGTCCATTAGAGTGACTTAAACACCGGGCTTTGGAATGCCAACTACTGAAGATCCCAGTGGGTCAGAAATTGTGAAATTGTTCATCATTCCCGAATCAGCCCCCCCCCCCCCCNCCCTATTGGCATTGAAGGGGTGTATCAAGAGACCACCGGAACATCATCCACTTTCTTTGGCCCGCATATTCGTTTTATGTGATGTATATATCAAGGTAAACCGTACATATATCTTTTCTGATCTATTAGTTTTGCACTTTTGACATTTCGTTTCTAGTCAAACTGACGAGCCAACATATTTCAATGATGGCTGTTGTGATTACATTCTTACCACCACGACAACTACCGTGAGATACTACTCACCTTTGAGAGTAGTACGCAAAATAATGCAACTGGTGGCTTCTTTCACCGGTCGAAGATGAACGCTCTTACTTCGGTCCCGTTCGTAAATCATTCCGTGTTGAACCTCGAGCTTGCTCGTATCGGTCCCGATTTATGACTGATGATTGGTCTTCTGTTCATGAGGGGAAGAGAGTTTCACTGTCGTACGAGTACGAGTGCAAAACAAAAGTTGATGTGATGTGCCTCGTGATCCATTACGTCTCCTCAATCTATCACGTACTGATATTTTTACATTTTCATTCTCACAGATCCACGCCAATGGGCATTATTTCCTCCCTTCTTGGTCACGAAGGTCAGGGGAGTGCATTGGCATTGTTGAAAGAAAAGTGAGTAGCTGTTTAACTTTTTCGTTCTTGCTGTCTTTGGTTTCCGTATTCGCGCTTGCAAATTGATTGCAGTCTGACTGAGGAGATTACAGCACACCACCAGGTTGTGCATCGTAGTTTGAAATCTGCCGTTTTTGACTGGCGAACGAATTCCTATTTGTCCCTGACAGTTTGGTATGTGAAGATAAAATTCTTTTGCCTATACTGCTCGCATACCGGGTTATTATCCTAGTGATGATTCCGATCACGTGCAATTCCGGTAACCGGTATTTTTGACTTTCTTTGTAGCGCTCAAGGCATGATCTGCATCACAAGAAGTTACCGAATACACGAGAGTAGCCTGATGCTGTCATACGCCTGTAGTGCAAATTTGTTGTCAACAGAATCACGCCACACCACGAAGTACATGGTACTTAGAAAGATAATTGATGACATTTAGATGTCTATCGTTGGGTTTTCATTCACAGTATTTTCTTTTTGAATTGAATTGGACTGATCACCGCAGCAGATCAAAACTTAGGCTAACCACTGATCTCCATATCGGGCCATCTTCGTGTCTTTGGTGCATCACCTGGTGCCTCTCTACCGAGAAGAAAGAATCAACCTTTCGTCAATTGCTTTTTAACATTTCTTCAAGTGGTAGGTTGTGTACCACATCTCCAACGATCGAGAATAAAGCACGACAAAAGGAACGGTGCCATGCATATCACGTGATCGGGTTTCCTTATTTGATGCAATAAAATTATCGCTTGATGTGAATGAATTTTTGGCTCTATGACTCGCCTCCTCACTTATATGTTGCAGCTGCCGCACAGAAGAAAATGGACGGTTAGCTTTAAGACGTGACCATCTCCCACAGCCATACAACAGTGCTGCTGGATAAGTGGCGGAATTTATATGGTCTTTTGACAAAAGCGAATATCGTTTCGCTACCACACGTTTCATACCGTAGTGGAAACCCGGCGGGCGTTTGAAGTTCTTCTCGAGACCACGTCTCTCGACAGGGCAGCCACCTAGGTGTACGAAGCTCTTTACTAAGTCTAGGTGGTCGTGTACGAGCGTAAGTATAGACCTGGGTGCCTGTCAATTTTGGGCATAAACTTTGCACTTTGTTGGCGCGATGTGCATACCAAACTTTAGTGCTTCAATGACCGTGCATGATTCTCATTTGGATATCGATAGCCCGAAAGGTTGAAGTGTCAGCATTTGAGATACTTTCTGATGCTTTCAATCACCATTGTAAATTTAAATGACAAAGAGGACATGAGCCATCCTGAAGACAACATGCGGTGACATAAATTGGCCATCTATTCCGATTCTACCCGTGGCCATTTCTATATCCTGGTCGGTTTGTGCTTTGACTTTATTCTTCCAAATGTTGCATTTCAATGCATTGGCTTTCTTCATTAATATTATTATTATTACTGTTATTATTATTATTATTGTTTTGTTTGTCACAGAAATTTGGCGGTCTCGCTTGCCTGTGGCGTAACTCCTACATCGGACACGGAGAACTCCAGTCTTTGTACCGTGTTCGTGGTCTACATCACACTCACAGATCTCGGACGAGATAATGTGTCTGACGTAAGTTCGAGCTCACTTCCGAGGTGTGGTCCGTGTTGTTTGTCTCTGCTCAGTTAAATTGATTGGGTGATCCGATACCACTCTATTTCTGTCAATGTCAATGTCAATAGTTACTTGTGGTATCTCGGGCCGTTTTAGATTTGCCCCTCTTATATTTGATTACCGACACTGTTTCATGCTGACGGGACCTAGTGCTCATCTGGGGTATTCAGTTGTTAGCTGTTCTAAACCATCTCAACGTGTCGGTTCCTTGTGTTCTCACTAATGAGCTGGTTGTGCAACCGCCTGGTTTGGTAGTTGCTCTTTTTGACTCGGCAATAAGTGTTAATGTTCTGTCTTATTGTTATCTCTGAGGCGACTCGTATCAACCCCCGTCTCTCCATGTTCTTTGTTCCCAAGTTTTCCCCCAATGTTTTAAAAAATTACAAAGCGGTTTATCCGAGTTTTGTTGAAACAACTCTGCAATCAGTCGCATCGGTTCGGTGAAAAATGACACTAAAATCAACACAAATTTCTGGTTCCTTCTTATCATAGCGTCAAGTAAATCATCAAGAGGTCATTTAGTCCTTTATTCACGTTCCACCATCCCTTACCTCCTACCGACTTGAATATACACCCTGTTTCTGAACCGTTCAACCGTTCGATTCCCATTGTATCAGGTCTGTCTCATCGTGTTCGATTACATGAAAATGTTACTCCAGTCTGCAATCGCTAGTCAACAACACATGCCTGAATCCACGGCGAATGGGGCATTGCCCAATAATCACGTGCAGGACAATCCAGGTGCATCAGTCGATACGGAACGTGAGGTGCACACATTTCGCTCGTATCTGCCCGAATATCAGTCCACACGAAAAGCGGCATTCCTGTACGACGAGCCTCAGGAACCGGAAGACACTGTAGTCCATGTGGCAAATATGATGCAACTCGTCCCACCAGAATGTGTATTTTCTGGCTATAGTTTGCTCAAGCATATCGATTTGTCGGTAAGTTAGTTAAACTCTTTCTGTACCCACTCCCACTCCATTAACTTCACTCCCCATGTGTAAGTTTGATAACTCTTCAGTGTTTGTTCAATGTTCTTCAATTAGAGGCAGAGGGTAATTTCCCGTATGAGCCTCATCACCAC